TTTGGGTATTGAAATTCCACCAGAGAAGGTWTTCTTGGCACAGAAGGCGATGATTGCCCGCTGCAACAAAGCCGGCAAACCTGTCATTTGTGCTACACAAATGTTGGAATCCATGGTAAAGAAACCACGCCCAACACGTGCCGAAATCTCCGATGTGGCTAATGCCATTCTCGACGGTGCTGACTGTGTGATGTTGTCTGGTGAGACCGCCAAGGGTGAATACCCACTCGAATGTGTGTTGACAATGGCAAAGACCTGCAAAGAGGCTGAAGCAGCTTTGTGGCACAGAAATTTGTTTGCCGATTTAGTGCGCGCCGCACACAGCTCCACTCTGGATTCGCCCCATGCTGTGGCCATTGCCGCTGTTGAGGCTGCTTCAAAATCGCTGGCCGCCGCTATTGTGGTCATTACGACTTCAGGAAARTCAGCCCATTTGATTAGCAAGTATCGTCCACGTTGCCCAATCCTAGCGGTCACACGCTTCCCACAAACCGCTAGACAGGCGCATTTATACCGCGGCATCATACCTCTCGTTTACAATGGTAAGTAGAAGTGCTGCCATATTGCTATATTTTAGTTGGTCAAATTTTTTTTTTATTTTTTAATAGAACCAGCCCAACCTGACTGGTTGAAGGATGTCGATGCTCGTGTGCAATTCGGCGTGCAGGTCGGCAAGAAGAACGGTTTCCTCAAAACTGGCGATGCAGTGGTTATTGTTACCGGCTGGAAACAGGGCTCTGGATTCACAAACACCATGCGTATTGTGTGCGTAAATGTAGAAAATAATCAAGAGTGTGAATGCAGTGAATAAACAGTGAATTTTATGATAACGGAAGTAATGTGTGGTGAATGACAGATTGCAAATTGAAATRTTGAGTTGCGTGGAAGTCAGGATTATGTTAATGCAAAAGCCAAAATTACCAAAGGCAAAAAATAATACACGTCTGTTTACATACATAAGTGCCTTATAATTCTTTATTTGGTAAAATACATATGTGTGGAAATATATTAAAGCAGCGAAAAGTTTTAAAAYTTTAAATTTTTTTTTTATCTTTAATAAAGTCCTAAGTCTACTTAAGCTACTTTAACACAAAACCACAAATTTATTTCTTTTTGCTTAATTGGTAACTCTATCAGCTTTAAGTTATTATTGGAAGTTTATAAATTTAACGTGCCATTTTTTCAATTTCTTTCCACAGTTACATTGAATAAAGRCCATCGCCGTTGTAATGCTACCTCGGACTCAGTTATATCTAGATGCATACAAACATATATAGAAAAAATACATTAAGTAGCGCTSAGGGGCAAGCGCACAACTTCATCTTGTTGCAGTGAACGAAAAACGTATTAAATACAAATCTACCTTCCAATCGGTGGACTGCAAAATTATTTATTTAAAGGCTACTGTAATTGAATGTTGGTATCAATTTAACCCCTGCACTAGTGAAGCGGAATATTAAATGTTATGAATTAAAAAATTTTAATAAAACATAAACAAATTAATTTTATTTTTTATTTATCTGTAAAGTTTTACGAAATGTATGTAAATTGAGTGAGCGCACTTTTCTTTTCTCTTTTTTGAAACTAAGGTTATAATCTTGGTCCTAACACTATTTACGAGCTTTGAATCGTGATCGTTGAAGACATGCCCCGTTCTGAACGACTTTCGACCTTTTCAACTGATGCAAATATAAAAAAAATGGAGGTTATGGTGCTTGAAAATCGTCAASAAGTGTTAGAGAGATATCAAGAGAGCACGAAATCTCCCGCTAATTTTTTCTGGATTTTCTGGATATTTTGGGTATGAAACGCGTTCTTGCTCGACTCTTCCCATTAAAGCTGAATTTTTATCAAAAAAAAAGTACGATTGTGATAGGATTGAAATCCAAAAACGAAATTAATACCATCGATCAACCAGATTTGGCTCCATGTGATTTTTGCTTGTTCTCCAAACTAAAATTGCCGCTCCCTGGAACCCGTTTTTAGTCGATCAAGAGTCTACATATGTTAAAAAGTAGTGTAGATGATGCCTAAATATTGTCATAAAATCGCTTCTTCCTTTATAATATTCAAACATGTGCASTAGGTGAAATGTTTTGTAAAGAACTCATCTGAGAGATACAGATGTACAAGAGAGTCTGAAAAAACACATATTCTTTTAAGATTGCATGCTTAAATAGTGCAGACTTTTCCCGATTTTCACAAATTTAAAGATTACCGAGTCAATCAGATCTCCGAGAATTATTAATACTTGCTTTAGGTACTAAAACTCTATTAAAATATAGATAATATCAATATTCAACCAGCCGATATTCTCCAACTATTCCTGTATTTACTTGAGATGTAGGAAAAAAATTAAAAATTAAAAAAATATATAAAAAAAAGAATAAATTACTTAATACCAATCTACTCTTAATTGTTTTAAAATAACCTATGAGTTTTCAAACCAATACCAAATTAATGGAAAATTGATACGGTTATAACTATCATATCCACAATTACCCGACCTGGTCCATGCAACAACATGCGCAAACCGTATTGATAAAAGCTTTTCTTCAAAATTGGTACAACGTTATTTTTATATCCGTGTACAGTTTGATCTCCATATGGAAATTGAAGTGTGTTTGGCAACTGTTTGTTTTCCACACGAAAAGTTTGTCTGATGAAATATTTTAAGGAGGAGCTTGCATGAAGTTTTGTATTTCTAATCGAATCACGGCTATACCGCCATGTTATCATAAGAGAGATAGCAAGGGACCTCAACATATCTTACGGATCGACTCAACACATTTTGTTAAATGTTTTGGGGTATAAAGCCTGTCAATCCTAGATTCGTAACAATAGACCAATACCGAAAAAACAAAATTCAATGAAAGAACTAAAGGCCAGCCGGGGGTTATAAAATGGAAAATTTTATTAAGCGGTGGCCCAGGAGCCTATAGGAGGCGATAATACAAGAAATTTAACGTAAGCGGCACTATTCATTAGCAATTTTGACTCTCCGCTCGATTTTTTAAAAACATTTACTTTACCACCGTAAGAAAGACAAATGCCGCAAACTATCCGAACAATTGAAGTGAACCGTCCTAAAACTGACAGCAGCAAGGATACCAATAATACAATATATGAAGATAAACAATGCCCGCATAGGTAACAACTCTCTTACAAAAAGTGACTGGTATTCTCCTCTATCCTCCATAAACAATTCGAATTCTTCAGGTAAAATGTGGTTTCGAACAAAAATTTTGTGATATGCGTCCAAAACAACAGACGCCCGATTCGTGTTTTCCAATATATTGGTTATTTTCTAATATAACTCGAAATTTTTGCATTTTTGCCAAAACCTCTAATACTCAAATTCTGTCTCTCGGTTGCCGCGATTTCGGGTATTTTTTAACTAATTTCTTCTGCACCGAATTTCGACTGTCCTTTTCAGTTGAGTTTTTTCAGCAAAAAAGGGTATAAAAAGAAAGTTATTTTGATWTTTATCGATCAGTTTGTATAACAATTTTATGCTATAGACATCCGATCTGAACAATTTGTTCGGAGATTTTAGAGTTGGCTTRTATAATAACATGTACCAATCAGTTCGTCTTGTTAAATAATAAAGTTTTTAATATAAGGCCTTGATTTTTATCGGCAATTTGAACGGCAGCTATTTCCTACCGTGGCCTGATATCGGCAGTTCCAAGAAATGAGTATTGAGGAGAAAGGAGCGTGTGCAAAATTTCAGATCAATGTCTCCAAAAGGGCTAGTGCACGCATATGTAGACAGGCAGGCAGACAGATAGGCTTGGAAAAACGGATCAGCTCGTCCCRCTATATATGGTCTACGTTGTCTAAAACAAACATCTCCTGTCATCAAACAAACAGTCGGCGCACTCGCAACCTGCTCCCACGTCGCTATTGGCAGTCAAAATCCAACGCAGAATAACTTAAGAATAACTAAGAAGTAAAGTCCTCTTTCGACGAACAAAGATCAAACTCTACTAGTCACTCAACTTTCTCGTGTTGTTGTTGCTGTTGTAGCGGCAGAATTCTGCCGAGTTGACAGCTCCTGGTCGGTTAAAAATCCGGGTCCGTTCCGGTTACGTAGACCCGACTGTCGTGGGAACGGTTCATGTATCCTTCAACTTTCCCGTCCTTCTATTTGGTGCGGAGGCATGCACAATGACAGCATCTGAGAAGTCGGTGTTACGAATTTTCGAGAGAAATATTCTGCGGAAGATTTCTGGTTCTTTGCGCATTGSCAAGGGCGAATATCGCAATCGATGGAACGATGGATGAGATGTACGAGTTATACTACGACTTTGACATAGTTCAGAAAATCGAGAGACAGCGGCTGGGCTGGCTAGTTCATGTTGTCCGGATGAAAGAGAACACTCCAGCTTTGAAAGAGGAGACCTCCACTCTGTTGGAAAAGGACTTTCCCACGCTAGGAATCTCTAATTGGCGCAAAACAGCGAAAAGGAAGAACGACTGTTGTAAACTCAGCTATAACCGCGTAAGCGCTGTCTACGACAATAAAGAAGAAGAGAAAACGTTTTTTCATTCTGGGTATTACAGATTTTAGTGACAAACTTTGCCCATCCAGTTTAGGGCATAAAAATTACTTCATTGTCACTTAAATTTCCTACCGACTACTGGGCACCATATAATTTATTGGTAGGGTTAGTTATTTTGTCTCGGCTACTACTCAGCTTTTCCTAGAGGTTGTATAAATACTTGCTGCACATGCCATTCAATATGTATTTTAAGACGTTTTCTAAACCAAACCACAGCACACACCACAACACGACACCTCACACCACACACCGCACAACAATGCGCCGCACCGAAACACTCGTGCAGCACATCAATTGCGAACTTATTCTTTTTTATTATCCACTATTCCTTACACATAGTATTCCTCAACCTTTAAGCCGCATGATAACAAGATGGCCAAGAATGACGGAGTAGAGTATAAATGTTGCAATGGGTGACTGCTAAAATCCAGTGACGACTCGCCGCCATCAATTCAGTCTTTGCCGAGATTTTATCGTGTGCGAGTGGTTTTTTGTGGCGTTTGCGCAGTCTGCACACTTCTAGCCGGTCCACAGTGTATTTTTTGGCAGCGGTACTAGTGCTTCACATAGTGTCTGATATAGCAGAACAATACTTACACACACAACTCACAGCCATATGTGCCGAGTAGTTGCATTTAAATAAATTCATTGGCGTTCTTTTAGTACAAGAAGCTTCAAGCTGCTGCCGCTGTAGTCGATCACGTTCATTTCGTTGCCATTTGACCGCTCGGAGGCGACTTTTCGCGTGCGTTTTGTGCGGTACTTTGGAAAACAATTGACTGCCCGCCATTCAAATATGAACTCGRTACTGTTTACTTAAGAACATGCTATAGCTCAGCCCGAAAAAAAAATTAAATTACGAATGCATATATTCTAAAAATTAGTGCAACGGGTTGTGACTGTTAATTATTGTAATTAATTTGCAAAAAATTAAATAATCCAAAATTGTTAACAACTTAAAGTGTTCGAAAAAATAATTTTTTTAAACTAATTTTTCATAAAAATTAATTATAAAACATTTTTAGTGGAAAAGGTTGCGTAGCGCCAAGTATATTATTCCGTACTTATTTTTTATCGGCGTACATGTGGGCGTGCGCTTGTGCGACAGCAATAACAATAAATAAATTCATTTGACCACAATAGACAAATTTGCTGTCTGATAACTTCATCGCTTGTGCCAAGGCTTGTGCGGTGTAGAATAAAGACTGTAATACACATACATATGTACATATGTTATTTGTAAAAGAGTTCGTTCAACTTAGATGATGAAAATGTTGCAAGTTAACATATTTGTTGCAAGGTAGGCATAATAAAAGACATAAAAGGCTTGTGGGATGGTTTCCGATTACCGTAACTTAAGTTCATTTAAAAGCCCAACAAAGTACTTCTGTTCTTTTTTTTTTTTTTTTTGTTAATTGAAAGAACCATAGCTTAAGGAAATTATCGTTTGTACAAATTAACACATGCTCATTTATTCGTTGAATATGAAAGTATTTTATTTCCTCTAATAATTTTACGTTATTACGTTAATTTATTTGCAGTCAAATACCSGATTATTTTATTTTGTTTAATAAGAGTCTGGCGATGAGAAGGTATTTTCTGCTTAAAATTATCTCAAATAATGAAAAAAAAATGTATTCTCTATTGAAGTAGAGAAAGATTTCAGACCGTTCAGCTTCAAAGTTTGTAACACCCCGACAAAAACGTCGGAGTTCCCATTAGATGTATATGTAAATGATCAGTGTGACGTGCTTGCTCGATTAAACAGTTTCGGTATGTCTGTCCGCAACTTATTTGGGTGCTAAGTCACAAAGGTATATGAATGGAATGAACTGGCTGGTGAGCTTGCTCGCTCTGCAGCATCGATGATCAACATTACCATGTACAACGGAACCTTTCATTGCGTTTTGTCTCGACACCATAAAAGAGCTGCCTCTCCTAGGTATGTGAAATGCCAAGTTGCTAATGGGTCGTTGCAACCTTAAAAGGTTTAAACATGTAATTAAATTCCCAAGAGACAAATTCATGCTACTTGTCGCACTTATTTAACMTAGGCCTAGCTTCTTAAGCGAGTTGCCTGTTGTGCAAGTTGGAGCCCAAAACCCCAAAACACCTGCTAATCGACTCTACAGCAGTTTTTAGATGCAGGATAAAGGCTCTTGGRTTCATGTTTTCAAATAGGGATCACATCACCTCAATAGCACCTAGCATTATATTRGAATTGGAACTCTAGATAGCGGAGGAATCCTCATTTACTTATCTAATCTARTCTAATGTCTGTCCGTCCAACCATCTGTATAACGCGAACTAGTCCTACAATTTTTGAGATATCGATCGAAAACTCGCCCTTCTCTCCTAAAGAAGCTACATAGATGCCATAGAAACTAAATGACAAAATGACAAAAAGCTTCGGTGCAGGGGAAGTTAACGATATTCTTGATATTTCTTCTTTAAACCCTAAAAGTCACCTTTTTTGTAACGGGTGTCTCTTATATAGTCTAAAGTGTGCTAGTCGTCARTTGTTTTTAAAAAAGTACTTTTAACTTTACCTATAACCCGAAAAGGCTAAGCTACTAGGCAGTAAGTAAATAAAACCCTATACTTTATCGTGCTTTAGTCAAAAACTCGAAGTCTCCTATGTTCAGCAAATCCGAATTATTTGTCCATTAAGTGCCCATACGATTCACAAAAGAATTTCGTTAAATTCACGCTTAACGTCATTTCTTTGGAGTTTCTGGAAACGCAGATCGATTTATGAAGATAAATTAAACAGAAGTACTGTAAAAGAATTTATTTCATCTTAAAATAATGTAATAAAACATGTACAATGAATGACAATAAAGTMCCACTTGGTATTTCATCAAAGTCAAAATCTGTAATCCCGAACTATGCCGCATCAGATACAACTTAATAGTTACTGAGGCGTTTTTATTCGCAAGAAAAAATTAAAAACTGAATCCGTCTCTAATAAAATTTGCTACCAGATATTTAGAAATCCTGTACAATGTAGTTTTATAAATATATATTTTTTAAAGTTCAAAATAGTGGTATTACTTTGAGAAATCTCCAGAACTTTGTGTGATGTACATATATTTTTTATTCAAAATCTGTGTGGGTACTCTTTTAAAGTTGGCAAGAAACAAACTGTTAATATCCAAAAGTCTCTGATAAAATGTTGGTTCTAGGGATAAAGGAATCCTAAACTTATTGGAATATGAATATTTAAAAAATGTTCGTAAAAGTTTGTGAAAAATAAAAAAAGAAAGTTCTTCGAGTTCTAATTTTTAATATTATTTGMGAAATCTAAAGAGCTATGGCAGTTTTGATGTACTATTTTTTACATATAGGCTGTTTGTCTCCTTAACACTGAGACTTTTATGGGGCGAAATATAGCAAAAAGCTATTACGACGCCATTAGCCTCAATCAATTTGTGTAATTAAATACAGAATATCGGAGTTTCCTTAGTTAGAAACCTTACATAGGTTATTTTTCGTATTTTAACACCAGTTTTACTAATACAAACTGCCTATGATCTCGAAATCCCTTAATGCGATAAAAGAACACGCCTCTACAGCGCATCGCTAATTCCAAATCAGGTTTACAGCAACTAACTCATCACAAAGGAATGCATCATACGTACATACATATGTACATATATGTGTCCTTACACATGCATATTAAGTTGAGAAAGGCAAGTGGCATTACTGTCTRAAGGCGGTCTTTAGAAACTATTAGTCATCAAGTAAAACATTTCAAGCTGTCTGAGTTATTGAATTACAAAAGACAAACTTCTTGTTGCATTTTGACCATAAACCAACCAGCCAAGGGATCATGTGATACAAATAATTAAAGCACACGCCATTGACTAATGGAGGAGAAGAGAGTTAAAATGTTGCTGAATTGAAATATTATCATTGAATTTAAGTGGTGCTCTTTTATTCCACAAAAATTCCTTGCGTGCAACCACTCCTACTCCTTTCTTGGTTTATGAACTGCGAAAATTTTGAAATAATATATAACAACATGCAGCCAGTTGTGCGTATGTACATGTGTGTGAGCTCATCATAAATGTCTTTGTCTCCTTATGTAGAACCGAAATTTCTTGGCAAATACCACACAACAAGTATATATATGAATAAATTAATGCATAAGCATATATAAATATAAGTATGCATGTACTGTGTGTCCTTTGGATGCTCCCGTGTGGAAGTCGACAGCAACAATTATCTATTCATGTCGATACATTGATGTTATCCTTTTGTATTCATTTTATATTTTATTTATAACATTTTGTCCATTGTTAAGCACTTATTAATATTCGATGAAGTACTCCGTTGGAGCATATGTATACTTATGTATCTATATATATATATAAGGGTGGGTCAAAAGAATTAATTTTATTTATTTCAGTTTATATTATGAAAAATTGGTTTATAGATACCTCAAAAAATCTTCTCCTTCTAATAATAATAGGAATGCCCTCCACTTTTCAGTTTTCTACATTTTCCTTAATATGCAAAAGTAGGTTATAGGTTTATAGGTTATAGCCGAGTTTACAAAAGCGCGCCAGTCGTTCTTCTTTTWGGCTGTTTAGCGCCAATTAGAGATTACAAGTGTAGCCAGGTCCTTCTCCACCTGGTCTTTCCAACGGAGAGGAGGACTTCCTCTGCTTCCCCCGGTGGGTACTCTCAGAGCTGACATGACCTAGCCAGCGTAGCCGCAGTCACAGTAACTATTATTTTAAAAAAATATCTCTTCTCTTATATTTATAAGAAATGGAATTGATTTGGTATTGCCGTTCAAAAGTTATTAAAGATTCAAAATTAATTATTTCAAGGCTTATTTCTGTTTCCTCATGAATTTTAATAACTTTCGAGATTTACTAAAAATTGTAAGAGACTAGTTATATTTCCATGATATCAAGTCAGTCCCTTTTCAAATCAAGTCTTTAAAAATACAACAAAGAAACCCTTTTTTAAGTCACTAACTTTTTCCACTCATTAACAACGGGAATCGGCTAATGCATACTTATATGTATGTATGTACTTTGCATTGTGCTTTTTTGTTTGTTCATCAGCGTTTTGAACATCTCAGCTGTGGTTCAAGTCCAAATCGCAACATAAATTACAAAATATGGTGGCTTGTCAAAAATAAAAATTATGCTGATATTCTCTTTCATATTCTAGGTAAATACTCGTACATAACAGCGGCGTATGAAAAGCGTAGGCCAGCGCCCATGTGTGCCCATACCTGTGTTGTTGACTTAACAATGCAAAAATTTTGTTTATTCTTTTAAAGCACACACAATTTATTACTATTCACTGCTGCAGTGGTGGTGCGATGCCTTCTATACATACAAACATATGTACATACTCGTTTATGCATGGATACCGACATAGATATGTTTRAGTTCACAAAAAATATATGTTTGTGCATTTATAAATTTTGCATCGAGGCGAAAAGTCTTCCCACATTCAGGTATATATTCCTATATGTGGCCAAAAATACATTAGGGCAATCGATTTCTGAGTGAATAAGCTTTGCTAAAGTGTATTGAAGATGCCTGCTATTTGGTACTATTTTATTGTAAAACATTTGTTTGTTGGAAAATTATATATTTGAGAAACCAAAACATTACATTAGAATAGATGAATATGTTGGCACTTCAGGCCTATTGAATTGCACTAGTCTTTATATTTATGCCAGTTGTTTGTTCGATTCGACCCTATCAAATTTTTAAGGAGCACACGTCTTTAAAAACTGTATCTCAAAGAGCTGTGTAAAATTTCATGAAGATCGATTGAGTAGTAGTCAAAAACACAGTTTCGAGAAAAACGCGTTTAAAAACGACGCACTTAGCCTAGCTAGTCCTAAGCGCACAAGTTCTCAAGGATGTTTCTACGAAAACTCGTACCAACTTGAAATTTTAGGGCAATATTCTAGAGGCGTTTTAGAATTTAATAAGACAATAAAAAATAGATTTTTTGAAACCCGTAAACACCTTAAACAATCAAAATCGAGTATAAGCAAGAGAGCTTGAAAAGTAATAATCATGTTATCGAATTCAGTGACTCTATAACGTATTAAGCGACTCCGATATCGAATTTATAATTTTTCTTTTTTAATATTTATTATGGATGCTCTCTATAGAGTGGGCACCACATTTCTGACAACTAAAAGAGTTAGTAACATTTAGTCCAGCAATATATTCTCGTTCCCCTATTAGACGTGATCCCAAACTTCTAGTATCTGGGAACCACTGAAAAATATTTAACCAAAACAGACAAAAGTTAATAAATTAAATATTTCCAACAAAATTTTTTAATAAAAATGGTTTATAAATATGGAACATAGGTTTTCATAAGTGACGAGTTCTAACAGCAGCAGAGCACCGTTTACTAGTCAACTGCCAGAACTAACACTAGTGACTAGTCTAATGTGAGAACGTGCATATGTATGWATGAAACTATGTAAATTTTATATACGTGTGTATATATGTAGATTTCTGCTCCGTGTCTTTACTAGCGAACTTGTTTTTCTTTTGTTCCACTATCCTTTTCTTCTTATTGCTTAATTCATTTGAAGTTCCCACTTTTTATCGCTTGCATTTCTGGAACTACATAGACTTCTACCCATGCACCTACATAGAACTGCACGTAAATATCTTTGTGTACGTGTGTGTGTGTGTATGTGTAGGTATGTATGCTGAGCACGTCGAAAGGTATTTCATTATTATTGCATCTAAGAATTCTTGATGTTGGGTATGTGCCAGCAGCGGTCGTTGATAATTTGTTAAATAGAAATATATTGCCAATTGCATGCATTTGTGGTTGTATATACATAGTTACATATATATATGTGTGTGTGTTTTTAAGAGTAGCGGCATTTACAAAGGCACCGAACTAGAACCATGCCATTTGCAGTTCATCAAATCGATTAAGTAGATTTACTATTGCAGTTCATACTTATTATTTAAATGGAAATTAAATCTAGAGATGGGCCAAAAGCGATTCAGCGCTGTTACTATGCGGGTAAACCTAAAWGTTTCCGAAAACAAATTTCGGAAAATGTTGCTATGATGTTTTACGACTTTAAGTAGCACCAACGTTGTAAAACTAAATGAACTAGACTACAAATCTCCGACACATACTTGTATACATATATATAACAAACGTCTATTTAAATAATGGGTAATCCAAGTAGAGGTACTTCAATAGGAAGCTCGCTTGATACTACTCAGCTGTCATGCTTTTTTGTTGAGTATTGTTTTGCATGTCATCATGGAAAGACTTACGTCTGAACAACGTGTTCGTTCAACTTTATTACGAGTTTGGAGAGTCGATTCGACGCCATTAGCAGCAGCTCGGACTGACGAATGGAACGTCGAGATCTTAAATTAAAAGCGTCCAAAAATAGCTAGTGCAAGACTGACTATTTAATGCCTGAAATTGATGCTCGTGAACTCTGCGACATTTCGCTTCAACAAGACAACCTCACTTCCCACTRCATCAATGAATGGATTTATTGAGAGAACACTTCKKTGAACAGTTAATTTCCCGTTTTGAGCCAGTCGATTGGCCACCAAGATCGTTTGATATCACACCGTTAAACCGATATGTAAATCTAAAGTCTATGCGGAGAATCTCGCTTCAATTCAAGCCTTGGAGCAAAACATCACGCGTGGCATTCGTCAGGTACCAGTCGAAATGCTCCTACGAGTCATTAAGTTCAATTTCAACGGATAGACCAACTGAGATGTAGTCGCGGCCAACATTTGAAAGTCAACTATAGGTATCGGAGTRTAATTATTAGGTACCGAGTACCGGCTTAAAAAGATTTTATTGGATTTGAACAATTTTTGTTCACAAGGTGGCACACACTAAAGACATTAGTCGTAGAAAGTTTTATCCCCTTATATTAATTCCTTCTTGATTTATGTAGTGGAAACTGTGGAAACGAATCGAGTGAAATTGAAAATTGTACTATACTCGTATGAGAAGTAGACATGGTTGTAGTCCGATTTCGCCTATTTTCACACTGTAACATAAGAATGTAAGCAGAATGCTACCCACTAAATTTTGTGGAAATCGTTCAATTTTCACAGCGGCCATATAACTATCTCGATTAGTTTTAGGTGTTACGTGCAACCGTTAGAGGAACAAAACTATAATACTCGGTAGCAACTTGTTACAAGAATCTAAAATATACATACATGTATGGATATAGAAGACAAGCTCTATAGAACAAACTTTACTGTAATTACAATTATAAGCAACATTTATAGTATATTAAACTCCAGTAAATATTTTTGTATTATGTTTTATAAAACCAAGAACTTACATATAATGTAAAATATTATTCCAAATTAATTCTTTTAGCTTATGCTGTGTAGCATTTTTCAACAATTTCGCACAATGTGAAACTGATGTGAACAGCAGTAAGAGAGCTGAAATCGCAAAATCGACTCAACCAGCGGCATATGTACTCCAAAATTGGTTTACTAAAAACAAAAGTAAATCGCGATTAAGAAGCAATTCTAAGGCGACGAAAAATAATGGATTAGCTCGTCTTTATGGACAACAATCGATGGAGCGACGTTTTAACGCCGATACTGTTATAACGCATGACTCAGATACTTCTAAGATGTTGCCCACAAATTCGCATACGTTAAATAAGAAGATGCTGAAGTGAGTTAAAATTATATTATTTATATACATATGTATATAAAGTATGTAACTAAAAATCTTTTTTTAGAAAACTTGGTTTTACCAAAGTGAAAGCCCCAAACAGCCACCATAGAAAGCGTCTAGCTGTGGAATCAAGGCGTCACTCGTCTCCAGATGATTCGCATATGTTCATTATAAAACTGCCACCAAATTTTGTTTATTACACAAATCCAAAAGGTGAAGACAATAGTATAACTGACAACTCACAAAAAACGAATGTAAGTGATAGAATAAAGTCTTTGGTAATAATTATAATTAAATAGACAATTATTATGTATTTTATTCACGAAAAMAACCGATTTGCTCAGGTGTCGACCTTTCCGTTTAACTCTAATGGCAAACCGGGACGTATCTACCACTGGAACCTGCCTGTGTTGCAAAAGATTCTCGGAAACAAACAGCCACTGCCACTCACTGATGTCAACGGCAAAAAATATGTTATCAACTTCAAGAGATTTTCGCATTTTCAAAAACCCTGGGAAAATGACAGCATTGAAAAATCGTATAAATCGAATTATAAAAAATCTCTGAAGCATAAATCACCCTCATATTATGCGCCCACTGCAGCAGTTAAGAAAAACAGTTTTAATCGGTATTTTTCGGGCAACGGCAAGCCGAAGGGCTTCTATGTTATAAAAGAAAACCAACATAGAGCTATAAATTATAAGAATATAGTGTTATAAAGACAATAATATTTTTGTTATTTTTATGTTCTGTTTGAACCAAGCTGCAATATTTGAGGAATAATGGTTCAACTATATACAAATCCTGGTCACAAAGGCATATGTACACATACTATACATATGCGTATTTGAAGCGTTATAAACTACGAATAAGATAACAACAACAATAASTTAAAAATTAAGTAATGCACAAAAAGTTCCATATCGAATTCATTGTACTTTTTTAGATAAGGAAATCGGTGGTGGTATTTCTTTTCCAAACAGTTTTAGAAGTCTCAACTTAAGATTTACTTTCCAAAATATCAAAAGAGACTGACCAATGAATTGTACTGAAGAACTTCTTAAAGAACTGGTAATTACTATTTTATTCTTACTTCGTAAATGGTATATTAAACTTCTAGTTAAAAATAAAATTTTAAAATTAATTATTTACTAAGCAAACGCTGTATGCAACTTAATAAATACACACATTTGCAAAAAAAAAATTAAACTAAAATAATGACTTTTTGTATTCGAAGTTTGTTTTTGTGTTTAAAACACATATGTATGCTCTACAAGTGTTAAATACAATTTAGCATACAATTTAGGAATTTATATTTCATTCATAAATATGTAAGTATACATACATACGTTGCTTTATGCACATAAAGGTTATACAAGTAATAGGAGCTTAAATAATAAAATTTTACTCACAACAAATTTAATAAAAATATATAAACATTAAACCTTACAYAGGCAAGGTCATTTTTGGCATACAAACTACATAATTACATAAAACGGTAGCCAGTCCTACGAAGTAAACAGGTTACTTATCATATACTTGATTATATGATACTTATGGTTACTTATCATATATACATTCTAATTATAATATTAACGGTAATTTTCACATTGTCTGATTAATATATTGCACTTAATGCTTGACCAGGTATTGTGTTAAAGAACCGATATTAAACTATTAAGACAACTAAAGTATATCTGAATATTTAGCTCATAATCTCAAAAGATATTTTTGTACTTTTAATTATAAAGCATATGGTTAAAGCAGGTATTACACAACTAGATAAGTCTATACGATGTCAATTCTACGCACTGATATTTTTAAGTATATCATTTTAATGTACATTGCAATCTATACATAAATATAATCAATAAACATCAATCAAATGTATTTCGTTTTAATAAGCTCTCTTAATACAAACCTTTTTAGAATCCTTGAAGTTTTCCTCTACTGGTGGTCATTTTTTAATTTGGTGGTGGTGGTCRTTTTTTATTGCAAATCTCTAAACAATTATTAATATATATATCAGATATAAATCCCTGATACTTATGTTTGTGTTCGCAATTATGGAAATTGCTGAAAGTAGTGAAACGGATCTGACTATTATTTTCCCATATTCATTTAACTAATTTCTTGCAATAATACTTTCTTCATTATATAAATATATGTATGYGCTTTCCTAACAGAGAAATACATACATACACTTTTTTTATCAATGAAAAATATAATATACGAAAGAAGAACAATGTAGTGTTGCCCATAATGCGTTATTATTTTAATTATGTAAGAATTAAAAGCCTAAATTAACTGTTATACCTATTTTAATAACTTTGAATTAAAACAATAAAAAAATTATTTGCGATCTCAAAAAATACAAATTTTCAATCCAAATTTAAAGCTATTTGGATTGTATTCATTTAAGTGGCAAGTCTGCTTGGAAATGACAGATAATAGCAATGAAATTATATCCGCTTGTATCCTACTTTAGTAGCAAAAAGCATTTCTAAATTAATACGTTTATCAATTTATAAGGGTATAAAGTTAAACAAATAGTAATAGRAACTGGTGTAAAACTCAATTTACTTTCATTAATATTAAACACAAGTCATTTTACGGTAAATACTATGGCGCAAACTCCACTTGACCTTGATACGAAAGCACATAAATTACGTACACTGATTTTAAATGCCCGGAAACCGTTTGTACTTCGCAATTTTAAAATGAATTGGAAGTGTTTTGAACAATCGCTGGAGGAATGGTGTGCAAATTACGATAGAGAAGTGAATTCATTGACGGAATTCGAGGTAATGCCTTGTAATCAAGGCAACAATACGCCACACTGGGAACGCTGTAGAGAATCCATACGAATGAGTTTGTCAGAATTTTTAGAGAAGCAAAAGACTTCGACTGATAAATTTTGGATTGGTTTGAATTATCAAAGAATGAACAATTTGCCAAATGCGCTTAARGAGGGTATTGACTTTTCTAGGTTAGGTTTTAGCGAAACTACAAACGAGTGTAATTATTGGTTRTGCTCTAAACAAACGAATACTCCTTGCCACTACGATACTTATGGATGTAATATAGTCGTGCAAGTTTATGGAAGGTAAGATTATAAAAAAATATATTCAAACTAATTAATGTGAAACACATCACTTATTACACAGAAAGTCATGGGTACTTTTTCCCCCTAACACACCTCTCTCTTGCACAAGAGTACCTTATGAAGAGTCTAGTGTTTACTGCGAAGAAAATCTGTATGCACCAAATCCGAAAGAGCATGAGCGCTTATCAGAGTTGCATGATTCAGTCTACCGATGTATATTAAATGCGAATGACGTTTTAATCGTGCCCAGACATTGGTGGCATTATGTGGAAGCAGTAGATGTGTCATATAGCATTAATTATTGGATTCCTTTAGAAAATGACATAGAAGAACAATTAAAAGAGTGCATTGTTAAAATATTAATTGAGCGCTTTGTACAAAGCGGAAGTAGGGAAGAACAAAATTATATTCTAAACCCTAACCAGGTAAATATTTTTCTTATTTAAATAAAYAAATAAAAGCAATGTGTAACTTTGGAATTTTTTTGCAGTTGAATGAGATTGAAAGTGATTCCGAAATATTTGAAATTTTAGAATACTTGTACAAGAATTTAAAAACGGATTGTTCGGCACCGAAATCGCGCAAACTTAGTGCAACTCCACATCCTTATCAATATTTAAGCGAACAGGAAGCTGAAAAACTAATTCAAGATTTGCCGGAAGGCATGATAGAAAGGGTGTCACCAATGCAAAGTAATGATTATGAAATTTTACTTAAACAGAATGCGAAACGTTTCAGTGCAACACAAACAAACGATGCACAGAATTCGAATCCTTTATGTAATGTTAAAAGAGCGCTGTTAAACAGTGTGTGTGCACCGTCAGTTATAGAACAAATCAAAATGGAGTTTTTTAGGCGCAATGGACAGTAATCTATATATAATATATTTTAACTASAATTTGTAATAAAAATGCATTTCAGATAACATTATTTATTTTTTATTAATTAATGCTTCCAATATTTCATTTTCATATATATTTATGTATGTGTACGAGTAAATATGTATTTTTGCAAAATTTTCAGTAAACTTGGACTATAATACTAAATAATTTCGATAAGTGAATTCAAGTGCAAAACTTTACAATTATAAAAACTACTCCCTTCCACCGATTTAGGCAAATAATAAAATAAAAACGTACAAGGCATTGAAGTTGTGAAAGAGATTCAGAGTGTGCACCGCACATTTTAAAATCCTGGAGGTTTTTGATTAGGATAGCCACCCTGTTGATGAGCAAAGCTGCCAGGATAAGTGCCATAGTGTCCGGGCTGAGGACCTTGTGGGAAACCGCTATACTGATAAGGCGCTATGTTAAGACAAAAAAATATTTAGTGTCTGTAAGCACTAAACATAGGTTTAGTAATACATACTTCCTGGGTAAGGCAGCGTTGCATACGGATTAAATCCTTGTGGCATTGGTGGCGGAACGTATGTTGGATATGGAACGTTCGATGTGGCACCATATGGCATCGGCATGCCTTGCATTTGATATGGGTAGGGCACATTTCCGACCGAATGTGCTGGAGCGTCCGGAACGGAGGATGTTGAACTGGATGGACTTACATCTATTTAATAAAAAATATATATTAAAAAAATAAAGCAAAGAAAATATAATGAACAAAATACCATTTCCTGACGTAGACGAATAATGTGATGGTAAAGTTGGTGTTGGACCAATTGCCGGGCGACTAGACTCAGTTGTCAAGTCCTTTAAAAGTTCTTCCTTTTCGGTTTTACGCGCAAAACAAAAATCGGATATTTTATTTTGGAATACCACCAGTAGTTCAGTCAAGTCATTATAGAATTTAGTGCCTTCTTTCAAATTGCCCAGCAACTCAATAAAACTGTCATAGGCGGTTGCCAATTCTTGATAGAGCTTATCGCGTGAACTACCACAACTACCGGTTTCAGAAGCGAATTGCTCGTGTGCTTGCTGAATGTCACTAATCAGTGTGGTCTGACGTTCTACACTTTCCTTTACCTGCGATTGCAGTGGATTCAAAACTTGCCCGATACGGGAGAGTGATATTGCTGGCTCGTCTATAGCGCCATCCTTTTGCAATGATGACAAAAATTCATCCTTCATATTAAATGAAGCAGACTTTAGCTCCAATTCTATGGAATCACGTTCAGCTTTTATAGTTTCCACGGCTTCCATGAGGCTCTTCAATCTTTGCACACTACTGCAGTTCTGATCGACGCTACCTCCAGATGCGGGCATTGCTTCCTGTATTTGCTCCGGAGCCATCGAAAGCAATTCTATGCCCTAAATAGAAAATTAATAAATATATAACATATAAGTCAATAAAATTATTGGTGAAATTATTTTCGAAAACTCCGTACCTTGTGATTAGTTTCGAATTTTTGACGCACAATTTTGTCTGCTTCAATAGCATTTGTGATTACTTCACGATATTTTTTCGCGTTTGTCCGGAACATTTCTGTAAGCTTATCAGAGGGAATTCGAGTCCACTTTTGCTTGAATTGGTTTCGCAATTGATTGTCAGAATCACGTTCTTCATCTAATAAACGTTCTGTTTCGTCCAATATTTCTCGATTACGTTGCAATAACTCAGGCAGTTCCTTTAGATAAGTATTTATACTCTCGATACCGCCTTTGTTACGAACATCAATAGCCTTTTCACGCAGTGAAGGTGGTAGACCACTACCGGCGTCGGTGGTCTCAATAGCTGCTGGTAAATTCAAACTAGCTAGTACGCCATTTAAGGTCTGGGTGGCCTCACGAAGCTTCATTATTTCTCCATTCACAATTTCATTTTTACGCATGTCGGATGCAGTCAATGCACGATGTAACTCAACTGGTACTAATTCTGAGAATATATCCCTAAAGTTAACCGCTAATGGTGAAGTCAATGGCAACGCCTTAGCAAGCTGCGCTTTTCCGGGTGATGGCAAAGAATTTACATCCGGTATCATTTCATTGTAGATGAACTCATTGTCCTTTGTTGATTCCTCTAGGTTTCGCCTAGCACGACTAAAGTACTCATCAAGGTAGGTAGCATTCCCAGAACGTGTTTGAGCCGCTTTAAATAACTCAACAGCCGAACGCAAGCGCGCAATTTCCTCTCCAATACGCTTCGCTGCGCGACATGCCAAACTCTGATATAGGTATGTAAGAGCGTGAAAGCCTGCCTGTTTTCCTGCAATAGCAGGAATCCATTCTTTTTCCCAAATATTGCGCACGCTCTCCTTTTGCATGGCACGCAATACATCAGCATAGAATTCCTCGCACTGGCAACAAAGCTTAGCAATAATTTGATCTTTCATATTATCTGAAATTGRAAAAAAAATACATATATATAAACAGAGCTTAAAAAGGCTCATAGTTTTGTTACCTTTGATGGCTTTTAAAATGAAAACCTCTTGGGCCTGCGCCACCATCAATGCTTGCAAACAAATCAATGTGTCCTGACTCAAATCTGGGGTAGGTTCAGATGGTATGGCGGCGGGTGTAGCACTTTTAAGATACTGAAATATACCTGCACTTTGCTGAAGCAACTTCAGTGCAAGCTTTAAGCCTTCGTCACTATCCAACGCCTGTGCTGCTGCCACATTACTCTGTAATGAAGCAATATTGAAGAGCACACATACCTTTTCGTATAGCAGCGATGTATGTGCTAAAATTGTATAAATGTAAAATATAAATATCAATAGTTAGATTTTGTTAAATTAGACTTACTCAAACTTATGCGGCCGCCAAAAATTGAGCCTTTGTCAAATGCATCCTTCCATTTAAAAGGAATTTGAAGCTCATTTACAGGAATTTTGGTTTCCAAAGAGCATATTTGATCATAGTAACTATAAGAGTGCAAACAATTATAGCGATTAAATTGTGTGCGCTGCTACAAAATTGATATGCGTAAGCAAGTCAACTTTACAATTATTTACCCGCTTATAAACAATTGTGTGCCTATTTAGTTCATTGTACTTTGCGTATACTATTTTTTATATATGTATTGTCAAATATCAAGAGTTATAAAAGAAATCATGACTCATTTTTGTTGTGGTCAAAATCGCTCATAGGTACTTAAGAACTTCAATTAATTTATTCAACACATACATATAGACAAATACTGGTATTCTCCGATTACACATTTAATTTATTTAGATACTTACGCATAAACTACCTCGAGGGAAGATTCATATTTTTCGAAAAACTTCCATATYGCTGTGTTGCGTTGTTTTGAGAATTCATTTACAGCATCCGAGTATTTGGCCTTTTCCTCGGTACTTGCTCCACTATAGGTGCTTTGAATGAGATTATTTAGCGGTTTAATGATGTCGACCTCAGCCGGCTTCTTGGGTGGCACAGCAAGTATTCTAGACATTTCACAATTTCTTATCGACGAAAGAAATATGTATTGAAAAACTTTTCAACTTTTTTCKATGTTTGCAAATTGACTAATGGATGACGACTTAAATTCTTCCTCCAGTATGTTTCACATTTTATTTGCTTATCTCCCTTCTACCCGGTTTATCATCTTTGTTTTCTACTATTTTGATTTTCATACGGCAATATGGTGTATGGCCAGACCGAATGCATTGCTCTAAAATATAAAATTTTGACATAACTATCATTAGATTTTTATTCCTCAAAGTTTAAATTTAGTAATATTTTTTCCTTTTACTTTACTTTAACATTTCAAGAGTTAATTCTTTTAATAATTCCAATTATTTTACTGATCATTCTATTACTGAATATTTTGACATTTTCTAAATGTATTCACAATAGCGAGCAGCTGTAGTTATAGTGTTGGTAAACTTAAAGATTTTCTCGAAGTAAGATATTGAAGTTATGTATTAATTTAACTTTAATTTGTCATGTATTAATAAATTATAAAAAAATATTTTAMCAATTAAACAAATAATTCATTAGATAACACGGTAAATAAAATTTTTTAATACTGACTTAGAATCTTAATTTCTCAATTTTAAAAATATGGCAACCGTTGTGGGTTATTTTAGAAGACGCGCACAGATTTTATAATAAATACAGCACTATAACTAATTAATAAAATAATAACTAACAAATAATATTTTAGATTTCGGTATGAGTTTTACTGACGATTCTTCAGATTTGGATTGGTAAGTTTGTGCATATTTTCATGTTTCTTGTARCAATAAATCTAACTTTAACCAACTGTCATTAATATTTCTTGATAGGAAAGAGACAAAAATGAAAACAAGCAAATCCATAAAACAGGAACATCAAAGTAAACCAAAATACACCCAGAAGTTTTGCCAGAAATGGCTGAATATCTTTAATCCGTGGCTTACACGTTGTGAAGATGATCCCAATAAACCGTTTTGCCGAGCATGTCAATGTCGCTTAGATTGCAACCGCTGCCACCTACAACGTCACGAACGAACTACAAAACATGTACGCAACTTGGAAATTCTCGTAAGCAAAGGAGAAGGTGCTGCACGACAGAATCTAAGCATTCGACAGGAACGTAGCAAATACTATCAACAACGCAAGAAGTTTAATTCGTCTCTTGCATCTTCCCAAGATGCTTCCGAACTTGGCGCTGACACAACTGACGAATTTATTGAGGAGTATGTTACCAAAAAGTAATAMAATTTTCTCTTTCCCTAATATGCTTTTGTATATTTTACAGAGCGGAACCTGAAGCCGAAACAGCGTTTCAATTTGTTCAAGCGGAATCTGCGCCAGGCGACCAATATACAGAAGAAACCGTTTTGAAACAAGAAATTACATCTGCTGACGGCCATACTGATCCCCTACCTGCGAATGCAGCATTAAAACAAGAGAAATTACGCGGAAGCCCGAAAAAGGCCGGTGTTAAAAAGGAACGAATGAAACTGCTCATGCAGATACAAAAAGATAAGAACGATCTCATGGATTCATTTCGAGAACTTATGGGAACACCGGGACAACAATCCCCGAAAAAAGAAAAAAATCACGTTGATTTATTTTTTGAAAGCGTTAGTTCCAGTGTTAAAGCGTTATCTCCGAAACTGATAGCCGAAACTAAAATGCGTGTATCACAATTAATATGTGAGTTAGAATTGCGTGCACTTACCGAAAATGAGGCCAATACCTCGGCAGTTGGTGGAACGACTGCTACTGCTGTTGTTGTGTCATCCGATCCGGGAGCCGTAAGTAATACATACGTTATAAATCAACCAGTAACGACAATGGTACATGGAACTGCAGCGCATCACACGACGGACAATAGTGGACATCATTACGAAGCTCTAAGTTGAAAATAATAGATACCTAAGTAATATTTTATATGCGTAGGTTACTAAAAACAAAAACAGCTTATATATTTTTCTATTAAGTTGTGAGTATGATTTAGTAAGAAAGACATCGCTCATATAACTTTACGAAAAATTCGTAATACAAAATATATTATTTTCAAAAATTAATTGAATATGCGTATAATAAAACTGTACATACATACACATGTTGAACYTTCTAATTTTTTGCATGAAAAAAAGTTTTTAAAAGCTCCATTGATGACAAGTTAAACTATATGATAAAGAAATTGTATCTGTCTGCATTAATTGAAGAGAACCAAGTAAATAAAAAAAACAAGTTTTAGTGCAATCTTTTATTCAAATAAAAAATGTCTTTTAAGTATCCGGCAACCGCACAGTATTCCTTCAAATCAGTATATATAGTACAATGTGGTTCCCTACGGCGAGAATAACAAATTTTCAATTTAAGTTCATACATACCTAATATGTTATTTTCTAATAAAATAAAATAAAAAATATTACATTATTGTTTAAAAATGCTGATAAATAAAAAAAAAAATGATAAAAGCTCAGTAAGCAAGCTTGACATTTGCTTCTAATTGAAAATAGGAAAGCTTAAGAGCTACAGTATCGGAATGACAGTCATGAATAATGTAACGGTTCGAATGTTGGYATTTAAATACATTTTACATGATTTATACATTTAATAGTATGATTATGTGGGAAAAAATGATAAAATAATAAAGAAATGTGTCACAATGATTAATTATTAAGATAATCTCCATACTGGGGTATACTTGCATACGTGAATTAATTGATATAGTACGTTGTGTCGTAGTTTTACATAAATTCAAATATTTAAATATTGTAATTATATGTGAAAATGCAATTTTTTAAGCCTTAACATATTTTCAAGACTTCAGAGTGAAAATCGATTTTTCAAATTTCCTCCAACAGAAGCTCAATTTACAACGAATAAAATATGAAAATGCCAACACTTGACACTTTACCAGTTTAACAGTGATAAGGAATAGCTAAATTCATACATATTACATACATACATAAATAGGAAATTATAACACAGCATTTCCTACAAACATTGACTCTTGTGTTTATATCTGCAGTGCGCAAGCGTGCTCCCATCCCCATAGTTAACAATAGCATCAATGGCAATTGTACATAGTACATTTGTAGTAGGTGTGGTGGATTAAATGGTTAAAATAAAATAGCGACGATGTCAGTGTCTTTTGAAGTTTGGCCTCGTGTAGACAAGCCTAAGCGGATCCGTCATCCTTTTCAAAACGGATTGAGAGTGGCGAGTTTTGTACAAACATAAAACGGTTCTTGTGCATAAATAACCCAACACTCATGTGTACTCACATACTTACATACACTAGGATGTAGTTATTGAATTTTCTTCATACAAAATGGGCCTTTTGCATTCAGACATTAAATGAWAATACAATTAGATTTTGTATGCATTTGAAATGCATAAAAACTTAAAGTGAAAACACAACTACTAGAAAGCGCAAATTCCATAAAAATTAGGTAAGTTTAATTTAGTTATATGAAATGTGTCCTTTAAAGTGTTTGCTTGTGTGTATGCCTATGCATTAATGCATTCTTATGCATGTATTAGGAAACTTTTTGTAACATGCTTATATACTGTATATGTAATACACATAATGTGTATGTACATACGTACGTAAGTGGTTAGTACTAGAAAAAGTATTTGAATCATTTTAACACCTTTAGATATTGTCGACTCGACCACTGTGTTACACCTTCTCATGTACTAAAATTATACAATGAACTAAACCCTCACTAAATAACAGCACAACAGCATTATATAAATACAAGCTRCATACATGTATTCATAGCTTTGTACGTTCAATGTCAATTTCGTGTTTGTTAAACTTACCGTCAATTTGTAAAAAATACGTTTGTTCATACTACTTATATAATATTGCTCTTTTTTCATAACTTTATATACATATAACCTAAATAAAGTGTTTACAAAATATTCTTTTAAAATTATATAAATGTGTTATTTGTATGTGCAAGTTCGAGCAAATGTTCAAACTTCCTAATTTCTGACTTAATATATGAAATTCAAATAGATACGTGTACACTTACATTTATAAGCATGCTTTCCGACCCTTTTAACTTTGATTTGGCGCCACCAGCACCAGCTGCAGCGTTGGCTAATAAAAAATTTGTTACTTAATTAGCATAAATTTGGCATATTAGAGAATAATAGTGTTGGTTCGAGAGCTTGACATCTCCAAATATATGTGTTAGGAAAAACATAATTTACTTAATAAAAATTATTATTAAAAAGTCGAAAATTAATTTGTGGACAAAACCAAGTACTGAAAGCTARTTCATAACAATTTTTTTATGTGCTAGTTTGCTGAACTTACAGGTGAAAAAAAAACATAATATTTGAGTTCCATTTAATAGAGCGATTTGTTTAATTAATTAAAATAAATTGTTAAAATAGAAAAAAAAAAACACAAGAAGTTTGTCTTAAGAGCTGGGTTGCAAAAAAATTAATTAATAAATAAGTAAGTTAACATTTGATTTTATTTTTTATTATCACGAAAATCGTATTTAAAGATAATTTCTAAATTTATAATCCCATAAAGCGAAGTAAAAAATTAAAAATAAATGAGTTTTTATTACCAAACAGCGATTGAAAAAAATCATGATTGTCCCAAAAATCGGATTAAAAACTAAAACCGACATTTTTAATTTTAAATACCGGAATGGAAATAAAACAAAGTTTTTAATTAACAATTAAAAAACGGAATTGTTAAAATTTAAATATTTTTTCGCTTGCRTTCCACCATTTTGGCTATCTTTTGAAAAAGAATGCTTTCTTTTAATATAATTGCAACTAACTCCACATTATTTACTAATTTATATTCAATAGCTTTTAAATATAGTGTTTCAGCTGGAAATATGTAAATATTTCTTTTCACAACTCTTTGCCCAAGATGCTTAAGAACTAAAATTTTGAGTTTAAAAAAAGTTTTCAAACTTAATTTTTTTTTTAATTCTGATTTTAAAACTAAATTCATAAATTGAAAATTTAGTTTTTGAATTAAAAATTATCAAGGCCGCTCAAGAATCCCGGAAGCACTCAATGCAATGCAAATCTATTATATTTTATAAAACTATTTATTATATAATAAATTAAAACGAATAATTAAATAAAAAATAATGCTGCATTACTCATGAAATTATTATGTGTTTTTGCAGTTTTGAACTAATTTTCCGTTAACGCTAATGAAAGTGGATTTAGTCCGTCGCAAGCTTAAGGCATAACACTATTTCAATAGATTTGGCAGGATGCATCTGCATTTCGAACCGAGTGTGAATACAAAATGTGATTGCACAATACTGTCGCTCTCATGGATGGGTAAAGTTCCTGATGATATTCCAGAGGTAAGCTCAACTGAACACAATAATATGCACAATTTTTGAACTCCCAATTGGAAACAGGTCAAGTCCCTCGCTTAACTAATATACGAGGACATTATTAGTATATACATATATATATTTTCCCGTAGTTCCTAGATGGAACATAGGGCCTCAATAAACAAATTCCAGCTTTGTTTATTTCGATTTCGGTAATCAGAGGGTTTAAGATGAGTAAATGATCAGCCTTCTGTATCCGAGCCTAGTTACGGGGTTGCCGGTTTCGCCTTTAGGCAGGCAGTGGCGTASGAATTTCCTCCACGCAGATGCTAAGGTTATACCGCTTTTACTCGGTCGTCAGAGCCTCGTTCGTAGTGAACAGGGGGTACCGCGCGAAGGTGARGTTGACGTTTGGGAGGGATAGGCTATGTATTCGTTAGCTGAATGACATTTTTAGTTGTTTCGCTAAATTTTCAAGAGCCAGATGAAGAAAGATTAGGTTCGGGTGGAGCCGAACATTAAAYGCTCCAAAAATTAAAAACATGTGAGGAGTGTGGTATATGTTTGTGATGTTAACACTTTTGCATTGTCAAATGGGATGTTTAAAGGAATTTCATTTAAATTACTCAAATAGTTAGTAAGATATAGGTGGTATTAATCGAATTCGAACACATTACTCTGTTTGTAACATTTGTAACTGTTTAAGCCACAATCAGAATGTTGGAATAAGAAATATTTTGACATAGTRTCATCCTGAACAAGCTAGTAAATCAGACTATAGTATATCATCCAAAGATTAGATTTCAGTAGCCTCTTCTGGTTGAGGATAGCCTCTAGACGTGAATGGAAAAGAGGTGTATGCTCCAATGGTAACGAAATCTCCCTCTCTATCCGATTACAAAGCTCAAGAAKTATCTTGCAAGAGGAAGTACTTGGTATAAAGAGGGTATGTGGTGATCTATTGTATGAGGATATAGAAAGTAACCATATACACGAAAAGCGGACGAGTTGGTCACACTAGGAACTTCTTTAGATGAATCCGATCTCCGCTGGTTATGATCAAAAGAGAGCTACTATAACGGCACTGTTCGTTTGCAGAACACGCGCTAAAAATGGGTTTCCCCTAAAATAATATTTGTCGCAGCTGCTAGCGGGAAGAAAGTAAGGAAACCATACCATAAGAAGTTTCATTGATAATTCCAAATGGCTTGAGCGCAAAGATGAAATATCTCGACCAAAGCTGTCTTCTATATTTTTAAATTTTTTGTGTAACCCAACTGTCATCATTACAAGTAATCAAAATATTACAAAAATTCTTCAATATATTTTAAATCATAAACGTAGCCATCACTTATTATCTTAATCTTCTTTCCCACATTGCATTTCCTAGCGTTGTTATAA